TCAAGGTTCTTGATCTGGTGCTCCCTCCATACTCGGAGGGTCCTGCTCGGGTTGGTCAGGGTCTGATGGTGGTTGAGACTGAGGTTCCTGTGGAGGCCGCGGTTGTAGTCCTGGCTGCAAAGGCTCCCGTAACGGTGCAAACGTCGCGTCCCGAAGATCAACGAACGAAGCCGCGCTGACCATCAGGAACTCCTTGCCTCTCGCGCTGATCTCCAGGAACGCGATCCTCAATCTTATTGATCGTCGCTCTCCTCAGGATGCTCGGTCCAGCCAAAATCGAGATACCATTGTGAATCAACCAATATCTGGACTGATCCTTGCCAATCACTCGAGCTGGTCTTGCCACTTCCGATGTAGGTCGCGTTTGCCTCCACCTGTGCGCCGATAGTGAACCCATTCACCTCGCTCGAAACGTCCAGGCTGAGGTCGTGTCTTTGGGAGCACTGCTCGTCGTAGGGCTTAACTGTTGGCTGACTGGTGGAACGCAATCTCACAAGCTTCTTGCAGTCGCAGGCGGCGCCACATGAGCGATCCTTGAGTAACTTGCCCAGCAACAACGGGATCGGTATATCTCCGAGAGATGCCGGTAGTGAGGAGCTCTCGCCAAGTATCCACTGTGCAGGACTGAATCCTTTGTTGTCGGCGAGTCGGTTCATAGTCTGAGCAATCTGGAGTCCGGCAACTCGGGCACTCTCGTCATCTCTGACCTCCAGTGCGCGAAAAACCTCAGTAGACATCTCCATGAAGAAACGGGCCCTGCGCTCAACCTTCCCATGTTGGTGATGCTCTTCAGGGGCAACTGGAATACATGGCACTCTTAGATCCTGGCACATAGTCTCAAACTCTAATCGAAAAGCTGCGTCCTGGCCAATCTGCATCCTCTCCGGGGTGAGCAGGTTGCGTTACCAGCCCTCCGTGAGAGCGATCTTCGCGCGTGCTGACGTTGGACTTGGCCGGTCTCCACCGCTGATCATCCATTGGCGCGCTGCAAAGTCGGCGGCAAGGTCAAGCATAACCAGGAAAGCATGCACATTCCCACCCAAGTGTGGTACATATGCACTGCCCATGCCCAGACACTGATTTAATCGCATCCACTTCGGCAGGCGTGCAGTAGGATGCGCTGGCGGCCGCTGTTGAGCACCTAGCTCACACTTGAAAAGCTTGGCCGCTGAGATCGCTGCTGGTGATCCTCCACCTGTCCGAATGTGTCGGGCAAGCTCCTCACCACGTAGAGCATGGGAAAACTGGATATGCAACTTTTTGATCGCTGCCTTGAGTGCTGCCGGGACTCGATGCCAATCGGCGTAGGTCTCCACATTCGCGCCCATAATGATTCCTGAGCGCGATGTGAAACCTGCGGCGGGGCATGTGTCAACGGTGTTGGAAACTCCCAGGATAGTCTCGCCCCCAAGTAGCTTCTCTATTTCCTGCTATTGTTTGACACCTTCGAGAATCCGCGCAGCCATCTGTTGTCCAGATTAAACATTCACGTGACTTGCCACCGCGCCCTTGAAGCTGACCATGTCCGTGATCTCGTGGACACCGAGCTCCACGTGAATATGCCAGCGCCACTGCTGACGTCGCGAATCTCATCGGATTTTGAAGTGGATCTCCACGATCATCTCGCAAATCAAAAGCACACTGATCACGTTCAACCCAATCCAGGCGGCAGCTCATCCTCGATGAGGCCCCACACTTGCGAACGCAGAGGGTTCCCCAGTAGCGCACGACGTCCGCGCCCCATTCGACGCCCGGCAATTACGAGCGCAACCTGAGCATGCGCGAATGCATCGGCCTGGCGACGTCTCTCACTCGGCGGAAAGAGGCTGTTGATTGCTGACCACGCGTCGCAAGGAAACGGCACGATCGTGATAGATGCGTCTTCAGACTCAAATTCCCTCATCGTCTCTGCCTACACACTGGGCAGTAGTAGATCATCGCCTGAAGTGCGTAGATCCTTGCATTTCCCGGTCCCCATACCAAACTCCGTCGCCAGACGAGTAACAGCACACTGACCGCCGTAAATATCCTCGACCGCTGTCCCAGGAATAAGCAGACGATGTCGATCAACGCGTAGAACAGTCCACGTAGCTTTCATCTCTCGCGCATGGTCCGCTATCCACGTATCCACTTGTTTCTTCCGGGAGTTCGTCGCGATGCCGATATCTGTCTGCATGATATGGTTGCTCTGCGTCTGGTTTGATTTGTCCTCTTCTGCTGCCCAGACGCCCAGCGTCTTCGCGCTGGTGGTAAGTGCTTCCCGATGAGTCGGCGTCCTCGGAAAGCCAGTGACATTGGCCATCAAGTGATTCCTCCTAGAACGCGCGATCTTCACTTGCGCGTCTGCAATAGCTCTGAAGATCACCCGATTGTGTTTCGCGCTAATGAGCGTGTCCAGGGCGTCCATCTGGTCGCCCACGAGCATCGGCGCGTCGGAGTTCGGCAACCTCTCGAAGTTGGGCGCGCAATCTCGTCCTTGAATGCCACTCGGTACTGCCTGAATACTTTCTGGCCTGGCCGGGGAGGATGCGTTGACGCCTCTGAAGGTTGTCCTGCTGGGCATCCGTAGGTCTGCTAGCTCGAACTGCTGGGTGAGCGTCGATAACTCTGTCGCCGCCGACCAGAGCCAGAGCCGCAGTGTCCAGGGCCACGTAGCCTGGGGGCACCACCTGCTCTGCCGCCATCGCGTCGACAAGCTCCTCGCCGATGTCAGTGATCGTCGTGATCGGGTCATCGGGCCAGCTCGCGATAGGCGCTATCACGTTGCACCCCTGCTGATGTCCAGCTCCCGAGGCTAGCCAGCATGGCCGCCGCCAGACCAGCGCGCGCCAGAAATCCTCCAGCTCCTCGCCCAGCTACTCGTCCTGATCCTTTCGGCTTCTGGCCGGCTGCCTTCCTTGTCTTGCTGCGCTCTGGGTCGCCAGCTCAGTGTCCTACTTCGTGGCATGCGCTGCACTTGCTTTGCTTCTGGAAGGCGCCGAGCCTGTCTTGAAGCTCCTTGGCGCCGAAAATGATCTTGCCATCGAAGTCGATGTCGGTCTTGCCTTGTCGAAATTCTCTGTTCGTCTGGCCATATTTGATGAACTGTCGCTGCCGGCTGTAGTTCGATGAGCTCGGTCCTCCTTTGCCATGCCCACGTCCTTTTGCCGCGACTGCTTTTGAAACTGCTCGGCCAGGGCTTCGACGCTGATCTTCTCGTCTTTGTGGTACAGCGCCCACGCTCGCCCGCTGAGGCCGTTCTTGACTTCGGCGGCGAAACCCTTCTTCTTCTTCTCGGCACTCTCCATGCCCAAGAATCCGAGCCGCACCCTCTCATCCCATTATTCCGCTGCTGCCGCATCTCCATCCAAACAAGGAGCACCGTCTTTATCCAACCATACGTGTGACCTTGGATTTCGTTGGTTAACCATCGTGAAATCCGAACTGCTCTCAATGCAGTCCGACCTGCTCCCGAGGAAATCAAAACTGCTCTCGCGGAAGTATGAGCAGCTCTCGAGGGAGTCGCACTGCTGCGTCGACTCGAAATCGCGCGCACGATCACAGGATAAATCCTCACCCCAACAATCGTTGCCTGTCCACAAAGACCAGGTCTTGAGAACAACAATGAAAAAAACGAGCCAATTCAGCATAGGCCGTCCTTCGTTGACTGCTCAGCTACCACTGTCAATTAAATAGATATGTTCGCCAACTGCTTATCTACTTCGTTTTTAGCTGCGCGGATATGGGCAAAACACACCCATCTTCACGCAAGAGGCCGCCAAGACGCCCTAAGAGGCGCCCATGACGCGCCCAAGAAGCCTCCAAGAGGCCCAAAAGATACCCCACGAGGCCCCCGGAGGCCCCCAAAAGGCGTCCAAACCGCCTCCAAGACTCTTGTTGGTCCAAGGGGCCCCCGAGAGGCTCCCCACGACACCCCAACACATACAAGAGGCCTCAGACCCACAACCCAGGCACGGTGGCGGGATTGGCCGCAGGCCACCAGAGTAATGCCAACGTCTTACACGCTGATGATTTATATCCGTCCCCGCACGATGTTCCCAGATGCGCCAAGGCAATGCCGAGACGCACCGACGCGACTCTGATATATCCCATTCTGATAGAGAGGGGGCCAGCGGCAGGGAGCGAAACCCTTACAAATCAAAAGGGTCCACGGTATACCAGGCTCTCATGATTTGCTGCCGAACACCCTCCCCCCAACGTGCGTCCTCCTTCTCGGGCATCCTGGAAACTTCTCGCTGCCACGCCTGGGGCCCGCCTCGAAAAACGGGCCAGGATGGGTGCGTCCTAGGACGGATTCCTCGGCGGATCGGCAAGAAAAATCTGCATCGACAAGAGCTTCCCGAGTTCCGCGACGACGTATCGGATCATGGCTGGAGTGCCGCGGGCAGTGGTTCCGCGCCCCGGCTCCGGGGCGCGGCGACGCGGCAGCGGCACAGCAGCCGACCGAACACTGACCGCCCGAGCGCAGCCGACTGCGACGCAGCCGCGCCGAGAGAAGCGCGAGCGCCCCTGGGCCCCTGGGGCGCCCGCGAAGCCGGCGCCCCAGCGTGCCAAGGAATCCTCGCCCCCCCCTCCCGCCCTCGCCACGCCGCCCGCCCCACGCCCGAGGGCAGGGATGCAAGGCCCCTGGGGCCGAGGGGGCGAGGACGGGCCGAGCGAGCGAGGACGCGCCGAGCAGGCTCCTTCCCACCTGCCCCGTGGCAACGGCACAGCAACCGATCGAACCGGACCGCCCGAACGCAGCCGACTGCGACGCAGCCGAGCCGACACAGACATGCGATGTCCTGATGTTTCAATACGGGGTCCCCCGAAGTCCCGACCCTTTCCCCGGGACCCGTTTGTCATCCTGGCCCGTTTTATGACGTTCCCGGGGCCCCGTAAGGGCCCCCCGAGGCCCAAAACGGCCAAGAACCTCCCGTCCTGTCTTGCATGTCGTTCACGATGCGAGCATGTCCGGGAACCGAGCCGCGAACACCCCCCCCCGCGCGCCACGGGCAGGCCTGCCGTGGGACGGCGTGGACGACGGCTTCGAGGACCCCTCGGCGTGGACGCCCTCGGTCCCGCTGGCCTGGCGGCGGGGTCGCCGCGGGGAGGGCACTGCCCCCCGGCGAGACGCCTGGGGTCCGCCGTGGAGGTGGGCTGTCCTCCAGCTCTCGCTCCAGCTCGCACCTCGCTCCTCGCTCCTCGCTCCTCGCTCCTCCTCCTCCTCCTCCTCCTCCTCCTCCTCCTCCTCCTCGTCCTCCTCCTCCCTCTCCTCATCATCCTCCTCCTACTCCTCCGCCCCCTCCTCCTCATCATCCTCGTCCCTTTCCTCCTCCTCCTCCTCCTCCCCCTCCTCCCCCTCGTCTTCCTCCTCCTCCTCCTTCTCCTCCTCTCCATTTCCTCCTCCTCCTCCATTCTGCTCCCCTCCTCCTCCTCCTCCTCCCTTTCCTCCTCCTCCAATTCTTCCTCCATTTCCTCCTCCTCCTCCTCCTCCTCCATTTCCTCCTCCTCCTCCTCTTCCTTTTCCTCCTCCTCCTCCTCCTCCTCCTCCTCCTCCGCCCCCCTCAAGGAGGAAGGGGGTCAGCACATCCAGGGCCCGAGGCACGTGCGCGGACGAGGGGGGCCAGGGAGCGTACCGAAAGAAGAGGAGGGGTCCATACTATCTGGGAGAGCTCATGCCCCGGCCATGAGATCCCCCCAGAAATCGCCCCCTCCTAAGCTTAGGTCGGGCGTGTCCCCCTACAGGCGGATTTTGGACGAAAAATCAAAAATACTCCAAACATATTCAGAAAATAATACTCCAAAAATAATCCCCATATTATTGTTTGACTATGTTTGAATGTTCCTCCTCTAGAGGGACAGGTCCGACTTAATCCGAAGCGCCCCCGAACCCCACGGAGGAAGCTCCGCCGTTTCCGCTCTCGAGGGGCCGTGCTTGGACCCCAGCCGACGGCAAACGATCCGGGTCCGAAGAGCCGGTCCCAGGGGAAAGAGCCGAGAAGTCTGGGGTCCCCGCGTCGAGGACTCGGGGCATCGTAGGTCTGGGGGGTGCTGGACGACACGAGCTCAATACCTTTGCTGCCGTCTCTGCCTTTGCTGGTTTGTTGCAAGCTTCTTGCATTCCGCATCAAGGATATGCCAAAGCAGAACGACTCTATGCTGAACGCGTGAGACTGGAGCGGAAAACTGGGCGACACGAAGTGGGTTATTGCAAGCTCGCGTTGGGCGTTGCGTTCGCGTTTGCGGCTGCGTGTTGTCGCGCGCTGCTGACTCGAGGTGACTGATACATCGTTCGAGGTGTGCTGCTGACGTTGTCGATCCTGCTGGAGCTGCCATTGCTGCTGCGCTTGCTATTTTGACCTTGCCTTTGCAATGGATGTAGCTGTTCTTTCGATGGTTAGGCTGTCAGAAATCATGAGAGCACCGAGCAAGCCTGACTAGACAGACGTGTCGGCGATCCGAAAGCTCTCGGTCGGCCTTGTCAGAAAGAACGCTGTGTTCGACACCTGCCCCCACGCCCACACTCGCGCTCCTCAGGTCCTTTTGGGAAAAACGAGGTGCCAGACGGCCATGTCTCAACTCATCTGGGTCCTCCGCGGCTCTGCACGTGGCTCTATCCACAAGGATTCTCCCAATGTCTGGCTCGTCCCCCTGATACATCAGATTCCTGCTCACTGCCGCTCCTCATGCACTAAATCGGAGATGCCAGCAGAAGATGGAACTCGAATCAGCTGACTCATACGCGCACATGTACACTGTACACAATGGAGGCGTGGGGGGCGGGGCGCCGTGGTGTCATCGGCTATTTCGCCTAGCAGCCCGGCAGAGTCGTCGACCAAATTGGTCAGAACGTCACCGACGCCGTGCCTGAGCAGCTCCCCCTTCGGGGTGGCGTTGCCGATAACCTGATCCTCCATGGTGCCAATCCGGGAGACCTCGAGGCGAGATCTGGGTCCAGTTTGGGAAAGAACGGTCGGATGAGCAAGGACACTACGACAGTGAAACTGCGACCAGCACGTTCAGAAGAAGAGACACAACCGAGAGGAAAGAGATGTCGACATCGCGGAAGCCAAACGGAGCTGCCGAAATCAAGGGAAGTGGCACTGCGAAGACTCGCGAGGTCAGGGCCGCGAAGGGAAGCCAGCGTGCCCGCGGCACGCTGGGCGCCCCAGGAAGACGGCTGAGCGAGCACGTGTGGACCCCTGCGGACCATGTGTCTGAGAAAGGCCTGGCTGGGAGACGGGATCCGGAACAGGTCTGCAGTCGAGCAAAAGCCCACCTCGGGCGCGGCCCAAGCGACCCCCAACAAACCCTCCCCTCCCGTGACGTCGTCCTCGCCTTTCGAGCTCCCCACCTGGCCGCACACACACGTCTGGGGGCTAGGCGAAAGGGCGTCGTTGAAGGGGATGGTTTGCCAGGGGTCGGTGGGGCCGCCCCTGACCATCACGAGTGTCCGACACCCCAGCGTCGGTTGCACCCGCAGGGATGGGTGACTGCCTGCCAAACCACCCCAACCCAACCCGAAGGCACCGTTGGGCACGTCTATCTCCAGAACATCGAGGGAGCACGTGTGGAGCCCGTGCACCCCCTGCCCGAAACTTGGGGTGGTCCAGGGTTCGCCGCAGGGTTATGATGCTCGTGTTCGTTAGACTCTTGAAGAATCGGAAATGTGAAAAAGGCTGTTTCAGAGCGTTTTCAAGGGTTTCTGAGGCTTGTTTTTGCAGGCTCAAAAAAGGCTGTTTCAAAGTTCGCTGTTTTTTCAAAGTTCGCCTGCCAGGGGCCATCGCCCTCGGCGCACGCGCCGCTCGAACATAGCCTGCGGCAGGCTCGTGCACTGACGACCCGGTGTCGTTCTGCCACCGCGGGGTGCTCGGGCGCAGACCAACCGACCCCTGGCAGGCCATCCCCCCCCTACCCTCCCCTCTCAAGCGCCACCTCGGCCACATACATAGAAGAAGCAAACGAACAAAACTGCATAAACATACACTCTTGTCGCTCCGCGCGGACTTCTTGGATATGCGTTGGACCCCCCCTCCCTGGCGCACGGAGCGCGCCAGGCGGCGCTGGAGGCGCCGCCAGGGGGGCCCAGAGCAGATCGAAGAACTCCAAGCGCGCGGAGCGCCACAAAAAGATATGTATGGCGTTTTCTGCTTCGAATGCATACGTCTTGGGGCGAGGCGGGGGGGGCGTCGCGGAAGGGGGCAGCTCGCTAGAGGTCGGCCAGGCCGCCCGTGGGACCTGGGACGATCGCGGCTGTCCGAGGGCGCGGATCGTTCGACGTCGGCCGACTCCTGGCCGCTGGCAGCGCTCAACTCTGAACGCCCGCGCCTCGCCGCCGCGTCGACACGACGCGTCAGGCGCCTGTGTTGTTCCCAGGCGCCTTTTTCGGCACCAAGACGGCTCCAAGGCGAGCATCCGCGCAAGGCTATCATGGAGCTGCTGCAAGCCCTGACAGAAAACATGTCCTCGCACGAGCGCGAAGCAGTTCGACTAGGCCCGACGTTTCACCAAACCACGCAGCTCGCGGCGAATTTGTCCACGCGAACTCCCCGCGGAGCGGGATTGATCCGTCGCGAGGCTCTCGCGACCTGCTCGGTGCTCTCCCCTGCCGCGTCCTATCCCACCCGTTGGAAGCGAGCTCCAGAAATCCCGCCCGCCACCCCACGACGCCGCCCCATGGTCGTCTGATCGAGGCGGGGAGGGGGATCTGTGGGTGTGTTGGGCAGGGGATGAGCCCGAGGGCGCGGAGGGGGGTAGGGCTCTTCCACGTGTGGCGGGGCGTCAGCAATGACTAATACCACCCCCCCCACGCCGCCTGCTGTGTCGTCAAGCAGAAGGGGAAACAGGAGGAAGAGCGGGCGCCGCAAATCGACCGCAGAACCGGTCAAACAGCGGCACAATAACCGACCGAACCGCATCGGCCGAACGCAACCGACTGCGACGCAGCCGAACCGGCCTCACCGCGAATCAGTCGTCTCCTCCTCCTCCTCCTCCTCCTCCTCCTCCTCCTCCTCCTCCTCCTCCTCCTCCTCCTCCTCCCCCTTCTCCCTCCCTCCTCCTCCCTCCTCTTCCCTCCTCCTGCTCCTCCTTCTGCTCCTCCGCCTCCTCCTCCTCCTCCTCCTCCTCCTCCTCCTCCTGGGGGCGCACGCGAAGCAGTCGCCCAGCGTGTAACAGAATCTTCGCCCTGCGCCCCCTTCGCTCTCCATACCGTCCGCCCTGCGCCCTGCAGTGCGGGAGATGTCGGAGCCGAACGGGGCAGGACGGGCCGAGCGGCCAGGATGCGCCGAGCAGGCAGTGATGGGCTGAACAGGCAGGGGTGCGAGCGCAGCGCGTGATGAAGTGCTGCATCCTGCTGTGGCCGGTTGTGGTGAAACTGCCATCATTGAGAGCGCGCGCCGTCTCTAACGCTGAGCCTCCGCAAGCACAACATAGGGAGGCGGGAGATGAAGCATAGAGAGAAGACGGCGGAGCCTTCGGCGTCGGCGGCATCGAGTCGGCCGAGCGTGCCGACTCCTGTTTGGGAAGAACACAAGAATGGTGCTTTCCACGGCTGTTTGAAAGTTCGTGCTGGTGCTCTCGCCTTTTCGGGCCTTCGTCAGCCCCAGACGGTTCCAGAGGCCTTCAAGAAGGCCTCAACATCGCCAAAGAGGGCCCCAAGACGGCCCAACAAGGCCCCAAGATAGCCCAAGGCGGTCTCCAATACGGCTGTATACGCCCAAGACGGCCCAAATGAGACCCCCGCGAGGCCCCAGAAGGTCCCCAAAACGCCCCGAAAGGCCCCAAAAGGCCCCCGAGAGGCCTCCAGGCCCCACAGAGAGGATGCAGGAATATCATAGAAAAGAAGGCGAAAACAGGGAGAGAAACCCGACACGGCACGGGACATCGTGCCACATGATGCCTCTCTCTCTCTCTCTCTCTCCCTCTCTCTCTCTCTCTGTTTCTCATTCTCTTTCTCTTTCTCTCTTTCTCTTTTTCTCTCTCTCTCTCTCTCTCTCTTTCTCTCTCTCTTTCTCTCAAAGATGAGGGCGAAAAGGTCATCCTCCCTCCTCCTCCCCCCTCTCTTCCTCCTCCTCCTCCTCCTCCTCCTCCTCCTCCTCCTCATTATTCTCCTCCTCCGCATCGTCATCATCATCATCATCATCATCATCATCATCATCATCATAATCATCATCATCATCATCATCATCATCATCATCATCATCATCATCATCAGCAGCAGCAGCAGCAGCAGCAGTATCAGCATCAGCATCAGCATCAGCATCAGCAGCATCATCATCATCATCAGCAGCATCAGCAGCATCAGCATCAGCATCAGCATCAGCATCAGCATCATCATCAGCACCATCATCAGCATCAGCATCAGCATCAACATCAGCATCATCATCAGCATCAGCACTATCAACATCATCAGCATCATCATCATCATCATCGAAATCAGCACCATCAGCATCATCATCATCATCATCATATCATCATCAGCAGCAGCATCATCATACTCATCATCATCATCAGTAGCATCATCATCATCTTCATCACCATCACCATCAGTATCATCATCATCATCATCATCATCATCAACAACAACATCTTCATCATCATCCTGGGAACGACAAGGTGCCATATGTAACAATAGTTCTCCTACTCGTACTCATTATCGTGAAATGTTTCCTGCTATGATTCCTGCTCTTCCTCTTTTTCCTCATCTTCCTCCTCGTCGTGTATGTTGTCCAGTCACCCCCCTGCAAATGAAACAAATACACTGTTTGCGTGCCCGCTCGAAGAGCCGGACCCCTCAGGCGTTTCGGGGTTCAGCCAAAACCGACCTTCAAAAACAACAACGCTCCTGCTCGGGACGATCCACAAGAAGGCTCCACTTCAGTCCACCACGATCGGCCAAAAGTCGACCCGACGCGCCAAATGCACGCCGACGAGAGCGTGCAGCACGTCTGGGGGAGACAGGGGGGGGGCAGCCAGCGGCAGCTTCCGTGCCCCCGGGCCCCTCGGGATCGCCGCGCCCTGCTCTGCCGACCAGCCGAGAGACGCCTTGCCTCCGGTCGTAGGAGCAGGAAAAGGAGGAGGAGGAGGAGGAGGAGGAGGAGGAGGAGGAGAAGGGGAGGAGGAGGAGGAGGGACAAGAAAAAAAAAACATTGCGAACAAACGCCGAACAGGACAGGAGGAGGCAAGGGGGTCAGCGGCAGAGGCAGCGCAGAGCAAGCAGGAACGAGGGGGCGGACGGAGGAGGTCGTCGTCGTGGTCGGGGGAGGGGGCGGTCGTGGTCAGGGCAGGGCGTCGGGGGCGTTGGTCGTCGGGGGCGGTCGTGGTGGGCGGGGAGGGTCGTGGTCGTCGGGGCGGTCGTGGTCAGGGCAGGGCGTCGGGGGCGTTGGTCGTCGGGGGCGGTCGTGGTCGTCGGGGGCGGTCGTGGTCGTCGGGGCGGTCGTGGTCAAGTCAGGGCAGGGCGTCGGGGGCGGTCGCGGTCGTTGGGGCGGGCCGGGGGCGGTGGTCGTAGTCAGGGGAGGGGGAGTGGGCCGGCGGCTCAGGCGGCGTCTGCCGCGTTGGCCGCCGTGGCCGCCGCAAACCTGGCCGCGTGCGAAAGTCTGCCTTGCTGGGGGTCGCGGGCGGCGGGTCTGGAAGGGGGTGGACCCGCCGCGCGCGGAGCTCTTTTTCGGCAAGCGACGCGCGACAGCAACAACGCGATCGCGCATATCAAACATTCTGGGGCGCCGCCCATCGGGCAGCCATTCCCCGACGTGCTGTTCGCAGGCTGGACCTGACACCTGCGCGGGGCGAGCGCACGTTTCACGTCGACGGCGTCGCGCGCGAGAGCAGTCCGAGCCCGCGTCCGCGCCAGCGCCCCCTTGGCCCGCAGGCGAGGCGACCGCCATGAAACGGGCGCGCAAATGGTACCGTTCCAGCCGACCGCGGAATCACAACGCGCGACCGCTCCATCAGAGTTTCGAGCGAAATGGCGCACTCGGGCCTCCGAGCCGCATCAGGAGGCGGCTCGCATTGGCGACGCCCGCCGCGAGGCGACATTTGAATAAATCGCAGTCGAGTAATTTCGCAACGGTGGGCGTGCGCAAATTTTGCATTTGTCGAGCCGACCGTTCATCTGCACTGGCGCGTCGTCTCATTCGAACGCGCGGCCCTGAGCCTGGCAATCGGCTGGTCGGCAAAAGCGCTGCGCCAGCCCTTGGCGCGAGATGGCCGACGCGGGGTCGGCCCAATGGCAGCGCGGTCGACGACGATCGGCCCCGCGAGCACCAGGCCGCGGAAATCGGCGCTAACCAGCGCCCTGATTTCCCTACGCGAGGCAAAACACAAACAAACAGACCAAATCAAACGAGGCAGCGCGCGTGCCCCGCGCCAACTGCGAAAACCCAAAGGCATTCTGATTGGCGTCGCTCTGTAAAGGGGCGCGGGAAAGACTGAGCGCAGAAAGACAGCGCGCAAAGGAAGGAGGGGTTGAGGGAGGGAGACGGAAGGAGGGCCGTCATGGAAGCGTCCTGAGGCCCTCCTGGAGGCCCTTGGACCCGCGCTGGGCCCTCCTGAGGGCCTATGGGGGCTGCCCTAGGGGCAACTTGGGGGTCTCCTGGAAGTCTATGGGGGACATCTTGAGGCTCTCAAGTGGAGCCGTAAAAAAACATAAAAAAGCTTATTTATTTACGCAACTTTTACCTGTTCACGCTTTCTCCCTGGGTGCCTTGGGGGACGCCGTCCTGGTGGTCTCTAGGAGCTGTCCTGGGGGGCGCGCGGCCGCCTTGGGGCCGTTGGCGATCGGTCTCGCGGGGCCGCGCCACGCGCAAGGATATGCGATACGCGAAGCGTCGAGAATGCATCCCTCTCCCATCGTCCCTCTCGTTCTGCGCCCGACGGGGCGGCCGCGCATCTTTCTGCGCTGCCACCTCGCGACGCCCGCGCGCTCTCGCCGCGCGACCGTCCAACTTCTGCTCGAACGGTCCTGGGGCGCGCGAGTGCAGGGGCCGGCTCGCGCCTCCTGCCCCCGTCCGCCCGCCGCCTCCCCCGGCAGAATTGCAAGCGCGCCAGGCTGGGCGCGCGGGGGACGAAGGCGGAGCAGCAACAAGGCCAGGCGAGAATCTCTCCAGAGGAGGCGGAGGAGAGGAGAGGAGGAGGAGGAGAAGGATGGCCAAGGGGCAGATGAAGATGAGGAGGGAGAGGAGGAGGAGGAGGAGGAGGAGCAGGAGGAGGAGCAGGAGAAGGGGGTCCTCCGCCTTCTCCCCCTCGCCCTCCTCTCTCTCTCTCTCTCTCTCTCTCTCTCTCTCTCTCTCTCTCTCTCTCTCTCTCTCTCTCTCTCTCTCTCTCTCTCTCTCTCTCTCTCTGCTTCTGCGCGGCCCCAAGCGACCTCGCGGCCGCAGCGGGAAAGGGTGACGGAGATAAAGACGACAGATGCGTTTGGGACGCTACCGTCCCCTTTTCCATGGGCCAACCTCCGTTTCATCTGGAAAAACACAACGTTTCGTGCCAAAATGGACCATGCAAAAACAAAAAAACTGATAAGTCTCGCTTGGGCAGCTTGGATGGGAAATACTGCGCGGTTCCACGTGCGACGGCCTCCCGCCCGCGGGAAAGGGGGCAGCGGGGTCGCAAACGCATCTGTCTTGAAGCAGGAGGGGGAGAGGGTGGAGGAGCGACAAACAACGATGATCGTCGCCCCCCTCTTCTTGCTCTCACCCCCCCTTTCCCATCCCCATCCCTCCTCATTATCCTTCTCCTCCTCGTCCTCCTTCTCCTCCTTCTCTTCCTCCTCCTCCTCCTAGCCATCATTTGCACTGCGGCGGCATAGGCATCCTGCGAAATACACGCCATCAGTTGCAAGCCCTCGCCACGCCCCGAACCTCCAACAAATCACGTTCTCAAATGGCGCCCCAATCTGAACCGCACCCCCCCGCTCCAAAAAGCTCCAGGGAGCCCCATTGGAAATTCCCCTGTTGCTCTGAATGGGCTTCCAAGAGGTCGAGTTGAGCCGGCAAGGGCAGGGTCGCGGGGGGGCGAGGATGGACAGGGGGCGTCCCTAAGTTGACCCTTAGACCTGAGAACCCTGACTGCATGTTTCACATGTCGTCGAAAACCCTCGCTTCGAATCTGCACCCCAGCGTGCAGCCGCAGGCAAGCCCAGACTGCGAGGCCAGCCCCAACGCCTCGCCGCTCCTACCTGCGAGCCCTCTCCGTCACAGCCGTCGCAGCGGCAGTGCGCCACCCTGGCGTCGTGCAGGCCCGACTCACGCTGAGCGACCCAAGTATTTCAGCCACGATCCATAATGCGAGCCACGCAAGGTAGGGTACGACTCGCACAAGGCAGCGACGACCATCTGCATCTGTTTGAGCTCGTCCTTGTTCTTCTGATTGATCGTCGCCCAGCGCAGGCCAGTCGTGTTCTCTGCAGCCCGCGTGTAGGTGATGACGCCTGGCGGGATGTAGAGGACCTCGCCCTGGCTCACCACGGCGAAGAAGTTCGGCTCAGAGACCACGATCTTCGCGAAGTCCTCGCCAGACAA